TTCAGGGTAAAGCGCCATAATGGAGAAAACCTGCTCTCCAGTGTTCAGGAAAAAACACCTGCATGGGGCCGGCAGGTGGCGAGGTGGCTAAGGCGCTGGACTCCCACATGGCCAACCGCAGCTCAAGTTCCGGAACTGGTGGCTTGCTTTCTCACTTTTCCTTTCTCTCTCTTTCTGGTCAAATTAAAATAAATAAATAACAACAAATTGAATTATATAAATAAGGTACTTTTCAAAAAGAAAAAAGTGTGTGTAGTGTATACACATGACTGCATGTCTACCCATGCATACACACGCGGGCGTGGGGTAAGGCAAATAAGGATAAATGCTGATAGTTAACCCTGGATAGATGACTCACAGGCGGCCTTCCTGCCAATTCTATCACTAGAACTCTTCTCTCAGTTTGAAATTGTTCCCAAATAAAAGGTTTCTTAAAAAGAAAAAGACAAGACAATTCATTAGTTGATAAAGTTAGAGAATGTGAAACTATTGGGACCAGCAGTTGGTGTAATGGCTATGTCGCTGGACTCCCACGTAGTCGACCGTGGTTCAAGTCCTGGACCTGGTGGCTTAAACTCATGCCGGGCGTGTGTGCGTGCGTGCCCAAGATCCCGAGAGGAGAATGGAGAAGGGATTGCAGCGTGGCCATCCCCCCTGGGGGTGATTTCTCGCTTTCTGTCTCTCTGTCTTCCTGGCAAGCGCACGCGCCCTATAGAAACTTTAACCCAAAAGCCTAACCTGCCAGGAGGACAAATTCTGCAAAGTGTCACAGGACAGGGCCTGGAGAGGAGCACTGGGACTCAGGACGAGTTTGGCAGGGCAGGTGCAGGCGTCTCCACCTCCCAGCTGCTCCTCCCTCTGTCTTCCCAGGCGCCAGCCTTAGTGCTCCTCAATGGAAGGCAGATGCGGACTCAGACAAGGTGCTGTGGCCACTTCTCAGCTTCCCGGGTTTCAGAGAACGCAGCAGGTTAACAAGGGCAGCAGGCTGTGGCCACCCGGTCCCTCCCGACAAAGGGGGGAGGCCCTGAACTAGGAGCCAGCTCGCCTGGGTCTGCGCCAGCTGTGCCTTCACACAAGTCACTTGCCAGCAACGTAGGGAGACCTCCAGCCCGGCTGCTAGAAAAGCTGTTGCAGTTGACACCTGTTCACTGCACAGGCCGCGAAGGGGCCAAGGAGGCGACATCACAGCCAGGGGCGCCCAGGGCCCCACCGTGCAGCCGTGGCTTCCTCAGCAGAGACCCCTCTACCCGTCACTGCGGTCATCAGCGCTGGTGCAGAGGGGACATGAGGAGCTGTGGCTCTGTTCTTCACCGAGTACTCGGAGGGGAAAAGGTCTGTGTCCACCTACAGGGCCGCCGGGACCACCTGGAGACAGGCAGCCTGGGCTCCACCGTGGGGTTAAGGGACACCTTCCAGAGCACAGACAGGTTCTCCTAAGTATGCGCTGGATGCAGACAGTTGGGGGACAGAGCCCCAGCCAGGGGCGCAGACAGCAGCACAGGCCGGACCTCGGGGCATCACCTCAGCCGCCCAGCTGCACGAGTGCTCTGAATTCCAGGTTCCCCAGCCGTACGATGAGGCTGCCGAGGGCCACCAAGAAGTCATCAGAGCAGCCCTGACAGGTGACACACCCTCAGTCACCGAGATCTACCCAGGACAGCCTGAGAGGTCGTCAGAGCAGCCCTGACAGGTGACACGCCCTCAGTCACCGAGATCTACCCAGGTCCACCGGAGAGGTAATCAGAGCAGCCCTGACAGGTGACACGCCCTCAGTCACCGAGATCTACCCAGGACAGCCTGAGAGGTGGTCAGAGCAGCCCTGACAGGTGACACACCCTGTCACCGAGATCTACCCAGGGCCACCGGAAAGATCATCAGAGCAGCCCTGACAAGTGACACACCCTGTCACCGAGATCTACCGAGGACCACCGAGAGGTCGTCAGAGCAGCCCTGACAGGTGACACACCCTCAGTCACCGAGATCAGATGTGCATTAAAACCAACTGGCCGAAGATCAAGCCCATGCCCCGAGAGGCCTCATGTCCTGCCCCCTGCACCACACAGACCACAGTGGCTTGGCCCCGGCCCTGGGGGCCCATCCCCACCCACCTCACCCCCAAGAAGAGGTGCTAAGCCAAGACCCAGACAGAAAGAACGCAGACTAAGACCAAGACGCCCCCTCCCCTCACAGGCGCAGGCAAGGAGACCCCAGAGCTCCGTAAGGACACAGGGTGCACATGTGAACAGGCCACGCCAGCGCGAGAGGAAACATCAGGCAGTCATGGAGGAACATCCAACCGACATCGGGAGCCACATGGAGCCGCGGGGTCTGCTGGGCAACTCAGCCACTCGGGGCTGCTGATCTGGAGAGCCACAGAATCATGGAGCTATCTGCTCGCCCTGTAGTAGGAACCCACCCCCACTACGTCCACTCTGACCTCAACCTGAGGTCTCCTGGGAAGGCCTCCCCTGCTCACTGATACACACGCACAGCCACCTCCACTGCCCACCTTGAAGCTCCCACACCTGGTGGCACTGGGCACACGGGAGTGTGAAGACAGATTTACACCTGGTCTGCGTCTGCGCCGCCCCGAGAGGGAGAAGTCTGTTCTCGCTGCAACATCCCTAGCGCTGGGCAGGGCGCAAGCACTCACAGACGCTCTGTAAATTGCTGGCCGGTTGATGGGACATGGGGACAGGATCACCTCTACCATCCAGGCAAGAGATGTTGGATCAAGAACCAGAGGCAGCCCAAAGACAGGCAAGGTGACGTGAGGCTTCACCTGTGAACACAGTGACCTCCTCTCCGAAGCCAGGGCTAGAACAGGACGCTGTACGTGGCTTCCCAGCGTCTACGTGTACACACATACTTTAATTACCCCCTGGATCGGAGCCTGGAGGGCGGTAACGCCCCCAGGTGGCCCATTTCTCAGCCCCTTTCTGATCCTACCAAGGCCAGTCCCTGCTGCCCAGAGAGCTCTGCTCAGGGAGCCCAGAGAGGGATCATGGCGTCTCCCAGTCTCCCAGGTTGAGCGTGGGCCCAGGTGGACACCGGAGGAGACACACATTCCATGCAGATGACAAAGGCGGAGCCCGGCAGGACAACCTGCTCAGGACAGCCCAAGCCTCCCCCACCCAGGCTGGTTGGAGCTCTCAGGTGGTGGCCAGGAGCACTCCGGGAGATCTTCACGGGCCCCTTCCTCTCCTGAAAAGCATGAACAATCTTTTCCCGCAGAGTCGGTATAAAGATGACTGTATTAATACATATGGAGCCGTGAAAACATTTTCTTTGGTCAAAAAGTTCTTTTTTTTTGATTTTAAAACATCTTCCCGGCCCCAAAAGAGGTGGGACTGGGACTCCTGCGCCTGATGGAGAGACCGGCCCCACGTCTGGGAAATGAGTTTGATTTCCTCGGTGCGGTTCACGGGGACCAGAAATGGGAAGAAAAAGGCCTTCTGCTTGCCACGGTCCTGATTGCCCAGCCCGGACTTACAAACACACAAGCTCCAGGGCAGTTCCAAAGCGTTTAATCATTCAGCACAGACACGGAGCGGAGCGCTCGCTCCCCGCACACCAAGCTTGGCGGGCTCCTAGGACCTCGCCGCCCGGGCTCCGGTGCGGCGCCGCGCCGAGGGACAATGAGGCGCACAAGCCACCCTGTCCCGGCTGGGCCACGGGCGGCGGACGCCTGCGAAGCCAGGTGCCCGCGAGAGCTGCTCTCGGCCCAGCCCTCCGGCCCGACCCCGTCTTTGCACTCGCAAAGACGGCGCTCGGAGGACGGGTCCCGTGGCAGCACCCTCGGGCACAGGGCTGCACGGTGTGCGCGCGGCCTCCCGCGCCCAGGTGCGCCCAGGTGAGCTCTGGCACTGCGGGCTGGTGGGCGAGCAGGGGGCGCCGAGCCCTGCGAGCCAGGCCT